GGGTTTGAACCACCAGCCTTCTGGTTAGCAGTCAAGTGCTTTAGCCACTATGCTACCAGAGCTCCTTTCTTTGAAGACTAAGGTGCACCTAATCCAAGTCGTGGTATTTTCAGTTGCCTCATATGCATGTGAGAGCTGGACAGTGGGTAAGGAAGACCAGAGGAGAGTTGATGCCTTTGAGTTGTGGTGTTGGTGAAGAACACTGAAAATGCCATGGACTGTCAGAAGAACGAACAACTTTGCCTGGAAGAAGTGCAGCCAGAAGTCTGCTTAGAAGTGAGAGTGGCCAGGCTTCATCTCACCTACTTTGGTCATGGTACCAGAAGGGACCAGTCCCTGGAGAAGGATGTCATGCTGGGTAAAGTGGAAGGTCAGTGAAGAAGGGAAGGCCCTCAATGGGATGGACTGACACAGTGGCCGCAGTGATGGGCTCAAGCACAGCAGGGACTGTGAGGCTGGCACATGACCAGGCTGTGTTGTCCATAAGGTCGCTATGAGTCAGGACCAACTCAATGGCACCTAACAACAACAACAACAACAACAGATCTGTGCTGTTTGTCACGTGTAGATCTATGTAACCAATGCTGCCATCAAGACACAGAACTGTTGCATTCCCACGAAGCTCTCCCTCCTGCTAACCCTTTATTGTTGTCATGCCCGCCTTCTGCCCCGACTCTGTCCCTACCCCCTGACTACCACTCGTGTCTTCTCCATCTCTGTGGTGGTACTATTTCAAGAATGTAGCATCCATGGAGTCACGGATGCTTTTGGATGAGCTGTTTTCACTCCGTTACTCTCCGGAGATTCATCCATGTTTGTCCCCATCTACTGCATGTTTTTATTGAATAAGGTAGCTCCCCATGGTGTGGACATACCCCATTTGGATTGTTTCCACTTGGAGGCTATTCTGAATAAAGTTCCTGTGAATGTCCTTGTGTACGTTTCTGCATGGACATGTTCTCCTTTCTCAAAGATAAATGCCCAAGCATGAGATTGCTGGTGTTGGCCATCTTTTCACTTTTAAATTTGACTGTAGTAAACTGTGTGTAAGAAAACATTAGCCATTTGAACCATTTTTAAGTGTACACTTCAGTGATGTTAATTACACTCACCACGTTGTCAGCTTTCACCACTGCCTGGCCCCAAATGTCTTCCTCCCCCTGGACAGACACTTAGCGCCCCTCAGACTAACTCCCCACCACACACACACACACACACACACCCCTCTGGTGGTCACTCCTCAACGTTTGCCTCTGTGCCTTTGCCTCTTCTAGATGTTGTTGTTGTTGTTATGTGCCGTCGAGTCGGACCCAACTCATAGCAACCCCTCCTTGGGTTTCCGAGGTGGTATCACTACGGAAGTAGATTGCCCCATCTTCCTTCTGAGGAGTGGCTGGTGTGTTTGAACCGCCAACCTTCTGGTTAGCAGTCAAATGCCTTAGGCACTACACTACCAGAGCTCCAAAACCAAACTCACTACCATTGAGTCGGATCCAACTCATAGTGATCTCTCCCTGGGTTTCCGAGGCGGTATGACTGTGGAAGTGGATTGCCCAATCTTCCTTCTGAGGAGTGACTGGCGGGTTTGAACCACCAGCCTTCTGGTGAGCAGTTAAATGCCTCAGGCACTATGCCACCAGAGCTCCCCTCTTCTAGATACTTTCATATAAATGCTATCGTACAGTATTTGCCCTTTTGTGTCTGGCTTCTTTTGCTTAGCATGATGCTTTCTAGGTTCATCCATGTCTTAGCACGTGCCCTTTTTTATGACTGAATAATACTCCATTGTGTTTCTCTGTCATCTGTTGATGGATATTGATTGTTTCCACCTTTTAGCTGTTGCCAACAGTGGTGCAGTGAACACAGTGTACATGTACCTGCTCGAGTCCCTGCATCTGTCTTCTTCTAAAGTGCATATTTTTGTGTGTCTTTCTCTAGAAAATAAGTAATTCCATCTTTGCATATATGTATGGAGAAGTGATATCTCAGGCTAACATATACTACTCACAAACCTTGGGATACACATTTGAGAAGTTTACCTTTGGCCGTGAGGTATGTTAAATTTGGTAAGGAAGTGAAAATAAACACACCGATACTGTGTGTAGGGGTCGTAATTAGCTGTTGATGGGTGAACTAGACTTTCCTTCGCTAACAGTCTGTGTGTATTGGTCTGATAGGGGCTGGTGGGACCCCTGAGAGTGCAGCCCTTAGATACCCTTCAGGCCTGGAACTGAGATTACCCACATGGCTCAGCCACACAATAGGCCTGTAAGGTGAGAAGTAACACCAGGGAAGTGCATGCTCCTTAGGACAGTCAACATACGAGATCAGAAGGGCAGCATCTGTCCAGGGACCAAGCTCAGAAGGTAAGAAAGGAAAGGGAGGAAGGACAGATGGAAACAAGAAACACGGGGAAGATGTGGGCAGAGTGCTGTTCCACTGTGAGGACTGCAGTCCATGATGCGAGTCCACATGGGTATGAATCATTGAATGGAAAACCAATTTGCTTTGTAAACTTTAATCCAAATCACAATAAAAATTTAAAAAAAAAAACCCTTGTGGCTGGCAGGTTAGGAAAATTCCAGACCAAAGGCACCACCTTGTCTAGGAAGCAAGACAAGAAGGCAAGAGGCTTCAGGTTGAAGCAACTCAAACAGGGTTGATGGGGTGGTGGGAGAAGGTGGGCACAGGGCAAGGCAAGGAGCCCTGGTGGCACAGTGGTTAAGCACTTGGCTATTAACCGAAAGTCAGCAGTTCGAACCCATCAGCCACTCCATGGCACAAAGATGTGACAGTCTGCTCTGTAAAGATGATAGCCTTGGAAACCCTTTGGGGTACTTCTACTCTGATATGTAATACAGGTCCCTAGGAGTCAGAATTGACTCAACACCAGTAAGTATCTTGATATCTGTTTTAGTCATCTAGTGATGCTCTAGCAGGAATGGCACAAACATATGGTTTGAAACAAACAGGGATTTATTCTCTTACAGTTTAGGAGGCTAGAAACTCTACTTCAAAGTGCCAGCTCTAGGGGCTGGGTGAAAGCCCCTTGACCTTGGGCTTCAGCTCTGCCTCTTGCTCCCAGTCCACTGGAGCTGGAGGCTGCTCTTCACTCAGACAGCTGCTGGCTGCTGAGGCTGACAAACCCCAGGTCGTGAAGTAAAGTGGCACAGTCCCAAGATTATCAAGCAATGCTACAGGCCACTAATTCAAGTCCATTAACAGACAACACGGCAGGCCACTGAGATGAAGACTCAGCCAAAGCGGGATCCGGATGTGCCAAAAGGCTCAGAGAGCATTCTCAAAGCTGTCTTCTTACATACCGGAAGTACACCATATCCCTAAGGCAGCTACTCAGCTGCTCACGGTAGATCCACCATGGAGTTGATTTCCCATGTCATCATGGGGAACAACTACATCCAGCTGCCCAGCCAGCCACTCAAAACCAGGCCCAGCCAAGTTGGCATACAACTTAAGTGCCACAGTGACCATATTGGATTAGGGCCCACCCTCCTCTGGTATGACCTCATGATAACTGACAACATCTTCAAAGACCCTATTCCCAAACAAGGTACATTCACAGGTACCAGGGTTGAGACCTCCACCATATCTTTTTGGGGAATGCTATTCAATCCAAAACAGTCATCACCCCCATTTTACAGAAGAGGGGACTGTAGTGGGTTGAATAAGTTTTCCCCTAAAACCTCATGTCTGCCCAGAACCTCAGAATGTGGCCTCATTTAAAATGGGATCCTTGCAAATGTAACCAGTTAACACAAGGTCCTACTGGATTATGGTGGACGGTGGGCCCTAAATGCAATGTCTGGTGGCCTTCTGAGAAGTGGAGAGAACACAGAGGCATGCAGAGGGAACGTGGCCATGTCAGGATGGAGGCAGGAACTGGAGTGATGTGTCTACACACTCAGGATGGTGGCAGCCACCAGAAGCTGGACAAGGCCAGGAAGGAGCCTCCCCTGTGCCTTCAGAGGGAGCATGGCCCGACCAACACCTTGACTGTTTGAAGCCACCCAATTTGTGGTACTTGGTAGCCACCAGACACTAAATATAGTGATGAATGCTCAAGGAGGTGCAGGGTCTTTGCCAAGGTCATGCACAGCTTGGCAGAGCTGGGATTTGAACAAAGGAAGAGAGAATAGGACCCTCAGGAAGAGAGAATAGGACCCTTGGGTAGCAAAAGGGATGAGCAAGTGTCCTTCCGACTCAGAGAACGGCTCCCCTCCGATCTCTAGGCATATGTCAGAGGAAGACAGGAAGTCTACCCCCCCCCATCAAATACTGATCAGACCCCAGGGTGTGAAGGACACAGGTGGGCAGCTAGCTAGTAGTCTAGGTCACCCCACTTCCTCTGTGCCCCCCAAAACAAGACTGTCCTCCTTCAAGTTTCTGCCCCAGCTATTACGTTTCCCTGGAGGAGAAAGTGATGATTAAAAACTGAAATTAAATTGAGAATTAAAAGTATGTCTGTAATTTTTTAAATGTCTCTGATGGTTGAAGCATTCAGCTGCTAACCAAAAGGTCAGCTGTTCAAACCCACTAGCTGCTGTGCAGGAGAAACATGAGGCAGTTTGTTTCTGTGGGGATTAACAGCCTTGGAAACCCTACTGAGCAGTTTCACTCTGTCCTCTAGGGGCGCTATGAATCGGAATAGACTCAGTGGATGTTGTTAAATGCCATCGAGTCGGACCCGACTCACAGCGACCCCTCCTTGGCTTTCCGAGGCAGTATCTCTAGGGAAGTAGATTGCCCAACTTTCCTTCAGAGGAGTGGCTGGTGGGATTGAACTGCCAGCTTCCTGGTTGGCAGTCAAGTGCCTTAGGCACTACACCACTAGAGCTCCCCAGACTCAATGGTGGTGGGTTTCATCTTGGCTTTTTAAAATGTATTTATATGCAATATTTTCTGTTTGCTCCATAGAAAGAATTAGTCGGTTTTGTGGGCGGAATCTTCTTCTTTCATTCTCTGTCACAGGTCGGGCTGCTTGTTGTTGACAGAAGGAAAGTAAGTTGTCCTGGAGGGGCTTTGCCTACCCTGGGTGTCTGTCAAAACTCACACACTTAGCTTTGCATACCTGTAACCCATCTAGCATTTTGTTCATCCATCCCTCTGTTATGGATTGAATTGTGTGTTCTAAATCCTAACCTCTATGTCTGTGGTTAAAATCCCATTTGGGGATGAATTGTCTTTGTTAATGAGGCAGGATTGGTGTAGGGCGTATCTCGAGTTGACTCAGTCACTTTTAAGATATGAAAGAGACTAAACAAGCAATTGAGTGACAGAGACAGGGGAAGAGAGATGTCAAGCCACACGAAGATGAGCCAGGAGCTGAAGCCCAAAAGGGACAAAGACCTTCCTGCAGAGGCAACACGGAGAGAAAGCCTTCCCCTAGAGCCAGAATTCAGTCTAGTAGCCTCCTAAACTGTGATAAAATAAAGTCAACCATGTGTGGTATTTTTGTTACAGCAGCGTTAGAGAGCTAAGACACCATCCACCTATCCATCTATGTATTTATCATTCCATCCTTCTGTCGTAACCCATCCATCCGCCCACCCATGTGTCCTCTTACTCATCCATCCATTCACCCACTCACCCATCTAACTATATACACATACATCCACCCACCAGCCATCCACCCATCCATCCACCCACCCATCCACCCATCCACCCATATAACCAATACTCATCCATTCACTCATCTCTCTACCCCCCATTCATCTACCCACCCACTCACTCACTCACTCACTCATCTGTCCATCCATCTACACACCTATTCATCTGTCCACCTACCTGTTCATCCAGCCACCCCCCACCTGTCATCCCATCCACCCCTGGCTCCTTCCCTCCTCATGTTCCTTTGTCCATTCAGGTCATGCATTTACATAGTGTCTGCTGGGTGCCGAGCACTGCATGGAGCACTGGAGTAAACTACGAGTAGGTGCCTGTATCACTGATGCACAAGATCGTTTGAAGGTCAAACAGTTGTTAGCAGCTGTTTTAATGTGTATTCAAAAAAGTCCATGAAAGCATCTAGGGTATGGCTAAGTTTGAAAAGATGAGTCAAGATGAACTGACTTTGAAGAAAAGTACTAAGTCAGTTATAATGTAGGCAAAGGAGTCCCTGGCTGGTACAAATAGTTGAGCACTTGACTACTAGCCAAAAGGTTGGTGATTCAAATCCACCCAGAGGAACTGTGGAAGAAGGGCCTGGCGACCTGTTTCCAAAAAGCCCCATCCTTGAAAACCCCGTGGAGCGGCTCTGCTCTGCACACCCGGGGTCACGATGAGTCAGAATCAATCCCTCGGCAACTGTGGTGTTTCTTAGGGTGCATCTTCTGGGAAAGGGGTATCTTGGTGGAGCTTACTTATGAATGAACCAGGGGTGATTTTTGAACTCCCACCTTACATAATGTGATCAGAAGGACTTGGGAGACTTCTTGGGTCTCCCATAACACACAGATAAGAGAGCACCTTGAAAATCACACAGAAGAGTTTAAGCTTGAAACAGCCACCCCTTTATTGTTGTTGTTATGTGCCATCAAGTCGGACCCGACTCATAGTGACCCCTCCTTGGGTTTCCAAGGCAGTATCTCTATAGAAGTAGATTGTCCCATCTTCCTTTCGAGGAGTGGCTGGTGGGTTTGAACCGCCAGCCTTCTGGTTAGCAGTCAAGTGCCTTAGGCACTACGCCACCAGAGCTCCCCAGCCAGCTCTTAGAGAATTACAATACACACCACTCAATTTGCGAGTGACTTCAAAAAATGGTTGTTGGGAACAGCACCTGAGGTGTGTGTGCAGGTGGTTTGGAGGAGACTAACCTGGGAAATGAACTCCTATGATAATGCAGGTACAAAGGAGACAACGTGGGCCTGGGGAGGGGATCTTTCTCTGGGGTGGGTCATCCTGGGCACTGCAGGGTAGTGAGCAGCATCCCTGGCCTCCGCTTACTCCAAACCACAGCATGCTTCCCTCAGTTGTGACAATCAAAAGTGTCTCCAGACAGTGCCAAGTGTCACCTGGGGCAGAATTGTGCTGGGTGAGACCCACCAGACTAGAGGAAGCCTGATCAAGTGTGAACAGTAATGTGTTCATTCACAGTCCCATGCTGCTCTGTAATGACCTCTCAAGCGTAAGTTGTCTTTTTCTCTTAGGCCAAGTTTGCGTACTCAGAACATCCCCTCAACAGAAGCTTTGGGCTGCCCTTTGACTACAACGGAACCCTTGATGTCCACATCGTCCCTGATCAGAGAGGCATTTTGGTGCTCTGGTCTGAGAACAGCCTGCTGATTTCCCGGAATGCAGGCGAGCCACTTCTCTGAGGAAGGGTGGAAGGCCAAGGCCTGGGTGGGGCTGCTCTCGGCTTGACACAGTACACATAACACCAGGCCCCAAAACCAAACCCTTTGCTGCTGAGTCAATTATGACTCCTAGAGACCCTAAGAGCTCTGGTGGCGTAGTGCCTAAGGCATTTGACTGCTAACTGGAAGGCTGGTGGTTCAAACCCACCAGCCACTGCTTGGAAGGAAGACTGGGCAGTTTACTTCTGTAGTGATACTGCCTCAGAAACCCAAGGAGGGTTCGCTATGAGTCAGATGTGACCTGACAGCAGTGAGTTTGGTTTTTGGTAGTGACCCTAAAGGACAGAGTAGAACGGCTTCATGGGGATTTCTAGGCTGCAGTCTTTACAGAAGCAGACTGACACGTCTTTCTCCCATGAAGCCACTGGTGGGTTCGAATCACTGACCTTTTGATTAACAGCCAAGTCCTTAACCACTGCAGCGCTATGATTCATTTACATATGGAGTTTTTGTTATATATATTTTACCACAACAACATTTTTTAAGACTTTAAACCAAAACTATCCCTTGAAGTCTTCTTTAAACCAAGCAACAGGTTGGCTTTATTGGTAAATAATGTCTCCCTTGGGCACTGTGCTCTTTCAAGAGCTATGTATATGGGAGCAAATTGACAACAGTAGCTTGAAAGATTGGATAAGAAACTTAGGGAGCAGTGAGTTTATGTTAATGAAGGAGGAACAATTCAGAAAACGAGGGTGAGAATGGTTGCACAACTCCACCGTAATCGATGTCACAGAATTGTACACAGAACTATTGAATTGGTGTATATCCTCAACAACAGCAACAAAAAGTAACATAAAATAAAAAAAAATTAAAGGAAATGAAGAACATGGTGTAGGACACTGGAGGAAAGGAAACCCTTGTTGTGAAGCACCAAACAGTTTGCCTGAAGTACGTTGGAATGTTTAGTGAAAAGTTGTAGTTGCTGTTGGTTGGTAGGTGCCATAGAGTCAGCTCTGAGTCATAGTGACCCCTTGTATAACAGAATGAAACACCACCCAGTCATGTGTCCTCCTCACAATCCTTGCTGTACCTAAGCCTATTGTTATAGCTACTGTGTCAATCCATCTTGTTGAGGGTCTTCTGTTTTTTGCTGACCCTCCTCGTTACCAAGCATGACATCCTTCTCCAGGGAATGGTCCCTTCTGACAACATGACCAAAGTAGGTGAGACCAAATCTGGCCACTCTCGCTTCCAAGGAGCATTCTGGCTGCACTTCTTCCAGGACAGATTTGTTAGTTCTTCTGGCAGTCCATGGTACTTTCAGTACTGTTCTCCAACACCCCAGCTCAAAAGCATCGACTCTTCTTTGGTCTTCCTTATTCACTGTCCGGCTCTCACATACGTATGAGATGACTGAAAACACCATGGCTTGGGTCAGGAGCACCTTAGTCTTGAAAGAGACATCTTTGTTCTTCATCACTTTAAAGAGGTCTTTTGAAGCAGATTTGCCCACTGTTGATATGTTGTCTGATGTATTGGCTGCTGCTTCCATTGGTGTTCATTGTGGACCCAAGTAATATGAAATCTTTGACAACTTCAATTTTTTTCTCCATTTTTCACAATGCTGCTTATTTTTGTTTTCCTTATGTTGAGATGCAATCCATACTAAAGAGAACGTGGAACGAGGGATATCATTGCTACTGTCAGATGGATCTTGGCTGAAAGCAAAGAATATGAGAAAGATGTTTACTTGTGTTTTATTGACTATGTAAAAACATTTGCTTGTGTGGATCATAACAAATTGTGGATAACATTGTGAAGAATGGGAATTGCAGAACACTTAATTGTACTCATGAGGAACCTGTACATAGACCAAGAAGCTGTCATTCGAATAGAACAAGGGAACACTGCATGGTTTAAAATCAAGAAGAGAGTGCATCTGGGTTGTATCCTTTCACCATAGTTATTCAATCTGTATGCTGAGCAAATAATCTGAAAAGCTGGACTATATGAAGAAGAACGTGGCATCAAGATTGGAGGAAGAATCATTAACAACCTGCTGATGACACAACTTTGCTCGCTGAAAGTGAGGATGACTTGAAGTACTTACTGATGAAGATTGAAGAATACAATCTGCAGTATGGATTACATTTCAAAATAAAGAAAAAAAAAATCCTCACAACTGGACC